CACATTATCACAAAACATGTTCACTGTTTCAAAATTTAAACCAAAATCAACATAAAGACAAAAAAAATTAAGAATTAGGGTTACAAAAGTACAAACCGTAATCTGGGCAGACTCTTCCTGGTGGTATGTTCTCATCACTGATTCGCTTTTTCCAGACCATCACAACACTGCAATCAATTTGAATTTGCGAAGTGTTTGCACGAAAATTTACAGAGAGTGTTCTTTCTTTTTTGTTTTTTCGCAGAGAGAGAGATAGAACCCTAAAAATCGATTTTGTGATTTGAATTCCCAATTTGTGTGATATTTGGGGGAGTCCGATGGTCGCTCATCTAAAATGGCAATTTTACCCTCGAATATGGAGCGTGCGACTCGCACGCTCGCTTTTCCGGTGGAAAACGAGTGGAAAACGGCCGGAGGTTGCGATACAGGCAAACCCGTGTATTAAAGGTTGCAATATAGTACAAATTTTTGTTTAGGTTGCAAATCCACAAAACGCGATTAGTACAGGTTGCATAAAATTATTTACCCTTATTGAATCTTGGTTTTGTGAAATTCTGGTCTACCGTACGTTTGAGTGGATATTTATGTCCTTTATACATTTTTCAAGGACTGAAATAAGATGACGTTTCAGTATGGTTGTTCTTGGGAAGACTTGAAGTAATGAAAATGATCATATCAATCAAGAGAAGAACAATAAGTAATGATTGAATTTCTGATACTGAGGATCGCCTATAAGACGCAACTGTAGAGCGTACTATTCTCATATTACAAATCGAGCTATAGAGGGTAGAGACTCGTGCTGATAACGTGTTATAAAGCTAGAGAGAAAAGAGAGAGAATAGAGAAAATGTTTCTCTTAGGTGCGATTTTCATTATACCTGAAGCTCCTATTTATAGGAAATTTTTAATGGTACAACCGTAATAATATAATTACATCATGGGCAAAATAGTCATTCACATATATTATTTTATAATAAATATTTCACAACAATGTTTAATAATATAGAATTTACTTTTTGTTTTATTCCATCATCCAAATCTAAATGTTTACCCTAATAAAACTAGCATGTGCATCGTACGCGGTACCACACTAGTTTATTAAATATTAGCTACAGGCATTGTTTGACGATCAGCGGATAGCGGATTGTATCAGCGGATAACGGATTATATTAGCTGATTTGACCAACGAATTGCATTAGCGGTTTTTAAATAAGTGTTTGGTAAATAGCTGAAAGCTTATAGCTGTTTGACATTGCAAAATGACTAATAATGACATTTTATTATTTAGAGTATAATCTTTTAATAATAATATATTAAAACATTTGATATTATTTAGTTGGTAATTTATAAATATATAAATATTTTAAAAAATTTACTAACATTTGATAAAAAAAGTTATGAATTTTATATTTTTCTAGATAAATTAATCATAAAGATGACATATTATTATTTATTAGCACCATAAACCAATGTAGATTGTAAAATAAATAATACAAATTAAAAAGTTCCAAGTAAATAATTTTTGTGAATCCCCTATCTCAAAAAGCTGGTCTAATGAGCTTTTCTAAATTAGAGTTTTTGAGTCGAAAAAGCTTATCAAATAAGCTATTTATCAAACAGACTCAATAGCGGATTTGACGGGAACCTCTCAATTAAGTCGAATCCGCTAATTTATTTTCAATCTGTTATCTTTCAAACAGTGCCACAATCTTTTAAACCATTATCTATTACAGTAATCCGTATTGCTAAATTAACAACAAATATCTTGATTATTAATTATTAAATCTTAAAACGTAGAAGAATATCATATTTTTCATTCTTTATTTGCAATATTCTTTTCTTAATTAACAAATCATTATTATACCTATTATTTATATATGTTTTGTTCTTTTCATAATTATTTTTATTTGTTTACTATCATGATGCTCGTTATCCAATGATTATTTCCTTTTATTTACCATCAATATCATATCTTTTTTTTTTTCACGAAACGATAGAGAATATATTAAACTCAAAGCGAACAAAGTTCGAATAGTACAGACCAAACTCGAATAAAACAAAAATTGAGATGACACGCATATAGCAGCCTAGAACCTCAACAAAGAACTACGACTAAAAAACAACAAACATCACTTCATCTAACAAAGACACTACAATAAACTAAAGACACTAGAGATGACCCAGAAAGAAAACAAAGACACTACAATAAACTAAAAAACCGAACATGAAGCATCTAACAACAAAATAAAATAAAATACACGAGCATATCAGATCCTGCTAGAGCATATCATTATCATATATGTTATCCATAGTTTGGTTATTTCTACAATTAATTTCTACAATTATTTGATATATAAGAATGTAATGTATGATATAAGGAAAAACTGGAGATTTTAATCATGTAAGTGACACTAATTTGTGGTTTGGTCCTCTCTGATGTCCACTTTTGGATCACGTCACATAAGTGTCAAAAATCGTAAAAAATGGTCCTGCCACCGATAAATGCAGATCACTCTTACCGGGTAGTCTACGTGGAATTTTACCTCATTTTTTTTATATATATATATATTTTGTTGAGTTGTAAGCCACGTGGAATATGTGGCATAATTACAAAAAATTTGAAGAGGAGGGGATTCGAACCCGCGTGAATAGGGCTTGCAAGGGGCTCATGAGCCACTTGACCTAAGAATAATTAATTTTAAAATTTGACTTCAACTATGTATCTACCAAAAACGTTTTATCAAAAACAAAATATATATACTAAATAATTATTAAAATTAATACATAATATATTAAAGAATTTTTAAAAAAATTCCAAAATTTATTAAATAATTATTAAAAAATAATATATATCATTAATTTATTATTAATTAAATAATATTTACTAAATAAATAAATATATTAAATAATTTATTAAATATAAATTAATAAATAAATATATTTAATAATATAATTTATTTTTATTTATTATATAAATAGAAGAATATATTCAATACTAAAGTATTATTTTTATAAATATATATATTATTCAATTTATTCAACTTGTAATTATAAAATTATACATAATTTATTATATAATATATATATATTATTCATTTTTATATATTAATTAAATATTTATTAAACAAATAAATGTATTATATAATTTATAAAATATGTATATTAATAAGTATATTGAATAATATTATAATATTTTCTCATTTATTATATGAATAAATAAATATATAATAATATACTATTATTTTTTATTTAAATAATTAGAAATAAAATAAATACTAAATATAGTAAATAATATACAATACACTATAATTAAATAAAGAATATAATTACAAAAATTATATAAAGTATTTTGTTATTTATTTTTTTTAGTTTTTTTCGTAATTAATATATATATTATACAATATGATACAATAAAATATAATCAAGTATACATATAATTAGAAATAACATAAAATGATATTGTTTAGTTATTTATTTAGTGAAACTAAAATAAATAAATATTAAATATAGTATTTTTTAATAAAACTTTTATTAAATTTATTTTTTATTAATTTTATTTAATTTAAATTATTTAATATATTTATTAATTTAGTAAGTACTTATATAATATAAAAATTAAAGTGAATTAAATATAGTAAATATTTAATTAAAAAAATTAAGTAATTATTTATTTTTTATATTAATTCAATATCGACGACCTTTAATATATTTATTTAGTTATTTAATATATTTAATGTTATATATATATTTATAAATATATTATTTAATATATTTATTATTTTAAATATTAAATATGTTTTTAATATATATATATATTTAAATATGTTAAATAAAGTTTTATTACTTATTATGTTTATTTATTATGTTATTTAATATATTTATTAAATTTATAAAAAATCAATTAAAACTTTAAAAATATAAATTAGTGTATAAAACAACATTAAAAATATATTTACTATTAAAAATTTATATATATATATATATATATATATATATATATATATATATATATATTGAAAAGTTATACCTACTAAATACAAGGGTTTATAAATCACATATCAATTTACAATTAAAAGATCAAAAAAATAAATCATTATGAATATTTTCAAAAATTTATCTAAAATGTAACGGTTGTTAGTATATTTTTTTAAATAAGCATAAATAATAATTACTAATATATTATAAATACTTTATAGAATTTTTTTGTAAATTAAAAAATAAAATATTAGGGTGCCCGTGGACCCGCTCCGTCACTGCACAAGAATCATCCAACTTTCATCTAACGATTATTTGTTTACCCCCATCGTATCTAGGTTACCTAATTCTAAGGGATATAGGAAAAAAAACATTAATTTATTCCTATTACAATTAGGAAAAACATTAATGTGCAGATGAAAATAATAACTGAGTTCAAAACTGAAATAACTGAGTTCTTTTAAGTATAAAAATAATAAAAAATAACAATTGAACAGGAATATAAAATTTCAAACCCAAAGTTTTAGTTAGTTTGGTTGATTTTTTTTTTAAGTTAAATAATAGTATCATATTTTAAAAAATTTGTCGTTAGTAAAAATGAACATCATAAAAGTATTCAATTCATCATATCTATTATATAAAATAATATGGATAATAATTTTTCATTAAATTCAACTAATATAGTGTACAATCTTGGATGAAATTAAATTTTGAATTTCAATGAGCTGGTGTAAAGATCTCTATTACAAATATGACTTTTCTTATATCTTTTCGCGTGTATCTCTAGTATATCAATACTTAATACTTCTTTTGCATGTTAATAGTCAACATACAAATTTAAAAAAAGAAATATTTTTAACCATTCAAATTT